GTTATAATGCCAGAGGCAAGCAGACTTCGTGGTGATGGATGGGAGGCTCCATGTGACAAAGCCATTAAGTACCCACTCTCTGGAACGGGTACCCTTTTAAAAGTTGTCTTTTCTGGGAATGCCAGAACACTCAATATTCTGCGTTTAAACATCTTGGAATCATTTGTGATGAGGATGAGAGAGCCAGTTTGGTGTAGTGGTTAAGTGCGCGGACTCTAATCTGGGAGAACCGGGTTTGATTCCCCACTCCTCCACTTGCACCTGGCTGGATGACCTTGGGCAAGCCATACTGGCATTAAAGTTGTGAGCAAGTGATTTGGCTACTGCATAAATTAGTGTGCTCTGGAGCCATCCTTCCTGAGCTAAGACGAAAATTTGTGAGCCTGAGGCTAAAAAACTGTGAGCTAGGTCACACTAACTCAGCTTAGAGGGAACATTGCTCACAGCCAGTGTTCCCTCTAAGCTGAGTTACTGTAACCTAGCTCACAGTTTTTTAGCCTCTGGCTCACACATTGTTGTCTTAGCTCAGGAAGGATGGCTCCAGAGCAAACTAATTGATGCAGTAGCCAAATTGCTCGCTCACAACTTTAATGCCAGTAGCTCACAGAGTAGAGTTTTTGCTCACAAGACTCCACAGCTTAGAGGGAGCATTGCTCACAGGGTGTCTGTTGTGGGGAGGGGAAAGGAAAGGAGTTTGTAAGCTGCTCTGAGACACCTTTGGGTAGTGAAGGGCAGGGTATAAATCCAATCTCTTCTTCTTCTTCTATTCAGTGAGAGACACTAGGACATTTTAGGGAAAGCGCTCTGCATCTGAGTTGCGTTGGTTCTAAAAGAGTCCCTTGGCATTTGGGAATGGGAGGAAGCATTCCCACTTAGAATATTTATAGCCGGGCAAAGTAAAATATTGGAATGGATCTGCTGGGTGTTGTCTTGGGTGTGGCCTGGTCTTGATGTGTGGCTTTATGGATAGGCATACAGGAGGTGCTTATGCTTCAGATGAACTTCAGCCAGCGATTGCCCACATAGTGTTTGCTCTTTGGCTTGTACGGGGTGCGTCCGCAGGAGACGACGGAACCACTGCTGGCCCTCTTGGCTCCCTTGAGCAAAGCTGTTTTCAGAAGGGCTGGTACACATTAAATAAAGTTAAGAAAATAAGCTGGCCTAAGGCTGGGTGGCTTTGGAGTCAAAGGCAAACCTTGTGTGTTAGGAGACAACACTGTAAATCCCTGGAACAGGGCTTCAGTCATATCAATGGCTACTCTGACACCAGAGGCGTTACCTGTTTTACCCCTTCCTCCCCTGTATATTTTAAGCACTGTGACTGATTCAAAAAACCACGGGCTGAGATAGCAACAATCCTTCTGACCTATTTCACCTGCTGTTCTTTAACGTCGTTCTGTGCTAGGGAGAAAGTCCAAACACCCTCACATAACCAGTCCACTGGTTATCGTGCACACTGGAAGGAAGCCTGATAGCCAGGGCTACTTTTGGGCAGGAACGCACAGGAACGGAGTTCCGGCTGGCTCCCAAGTTGGCCACGCCCAGCAGGAACCTCCTTAGCATAATAGGCCACACCCAGCAGCAGAAACTCATTAGGATTGGCTACATTAGGGGTGTGTGGCCTAACATGCAAAGGAGTTCCTGCTACAAAAAAAGGCCCTGGGTTTTGACAACAAACAAGGTAAACAGAATAACAAGCAAAAGGTGGGTGTGGCTGGATAACCACACTTCTGGTAACATGTGGGTGTGGCCTAATGTGCTAATGAGCTGTGCTGTCAGGGGTGTGGCCCAATATGCTAATGTGTTCCTGCTGTTGGGTGTGGCTTCTTATGCTATTGAGTTCCTGCTGGGCTTTTTCTACAAAAAGAGCCCTGCTGATAGCTGTAGCTATGTGCTCAAGTTGTGATCTTCATTTCTCATTCTTTGCTTATTTTCTATGTTTAGTATGAGATTCTCTGCATGACTAACTGAGAGTCTAACCAGACATGATACTTTACTTGTGTTTAGTTAAAAGTTACCTGTAGGTATTTTGTACATCTGGTTTGGCCCTCTTTCTCTGTTACCCTTCCCAGGGCTTTTTTTTTTGTAGAAAAAGAAAAGCCCAGCAGGAACTCATTAGCATAATAGGCCGCACCCAACAGCAGAAATTAATTAGCATATTAGGCCACACCCCTTGCCCAGGTGCCCCGTGGCTGCGGGGAGCCCAGGCAAGCTGGCCCTTGGACAGGCCAGGGAAGGCATGGGGAGGCATTTAAATGCCTTCCCGATCCTTCCAGGGGCCCCCCTATTCCGCCCACCTTGCAGTCGCCGGGGGGTGTCGCTCTCCAGGCCTTCCCTCTGTAGCCACGCATGTGCAGAGGTTTTGGCTGTAGTGGGCGTGGCCAACTCGGAAGCCAGCTGGAACTTTGTTCCTGTGCGTTCCTGCCCAAAGATGGCCCTGACCTTTCCAAGATAGCATCTTCTCCATACAATGGATGGTCTCCTCCTCCCTCCCCGTGCCTTGATGCCAAGCCCAGGCAGGCAGCAAACTTCTCCATACAATGGATGGTCTCCTCCTCTCTCCCTGTGGCAGGCAGCAACACTCTTTTCTCCGAACCTCTACCCATTGTTGCTTGCTTGTTCAAGCATGCTTCTTCCTTCCAGAATAGGAAGTGGCAACCGGCAGCATCCCTAATGCTTGAGCTATTGTCACTTACGCTGATTGGTTGCAGGCCTGGTAGAGTCCCTCCTGTTGGGGAAGGTCGGAGAGGGGTGTTCAGCAAATCAGAAGCATTGTTGAAAACAGATAAGAATTCTCAGCCAGTGGATGAACATTGGAAAAGCTCACACAGCTCCATTTGATCTTCAAGAAATTTTTGGGATACAACCCAAACAAGGACCAAAGAATATCAACAACAATATACTTTTTGTTACAGCAATTAAAACTTGGGACATCAATAAGAAACGTCTTCCGACCTCGGGCATTTCACAGCTCTCTCCCTATACACGTCAAAGCTGGTTTGAGCCAGGCAAGACCATAAATGCCTACATGGATTGGAAAAATGAAAACTTGGGTCGCCTGTTCGACTTGGTATCCAAGGGTAACATTAAGAAAAAATATATTTTGATCAAAAAATTGGTCAGTAAACCCCTTTGCATCAATACTTCCAACTTAGAAATCTCATAGAACTGTTAGCAGAAGAAGGAACGTTTCAAAGAGAATTGACAAGAATGGGAAAAAATTATTACATAGTTCCCTAGATCTCCTAAGGGTCTATTATCTAAACTATACGACACGTTAATCTTGGAAGTCAATTACACGAAATTTAAATACCAAACAAGTTGGGAAGAAGAACTGGGTGTACACTGGCAAACAGAAAATTGGCAAACCGTATGGGATTCACCTGCCAATAGTTCAAATGTATATAACGTAAGACTTCAGTTTTTCAAAACAATGTCATGATGGTACCTAACTCCTGAACAATCACACAAAATAAGCAGGAATACTAGCTCAACATGCTGGAAAGGGTGTGAAATTGCCCGAAGATCGCTCAATTCTGTGAGGATGTAAGACAACAAATTAATATTATCACAGCACAAGACATCACATTTACAGCAGAAGTCTTTCTATTAAATCACTGGGACAGTTCAATCCACAACTATAGGAAGGATCTTACCTCAGTGCTTCTTGCAGTGGCCTGCCTGGTAATTGCAATCTCTGCATGGCATGACAAACTTTGGGGAAACTTCATCATGGCAAAGATAACTGGCTCAATCAACAAACCTCAGTCCAACACTACTCTCCTCTCAAAATTTGTGACAACATGGTACCCAATTGTATCCTATGTACAAACTCAGGAAATACTCCCCCCAAACCCACTGTACCACAGGTGGTTTACTCTGTAGAACCTACACTCCTTAATACCTGGGGAAATAATTGGGCTCTTAATTCAAAACATTAATCCTCCAGTAATATCTACCTAGTATTACTTGTCAACTTCAGACTCACTCTCAAACCACGTTAATAAAGGTAATCCGGACACAGTACTTAAATTAGAACTGTTTTCTTGCTGTATGGCACGACTTAATATTTTTCTGTTTTGACGTACTAACTTCGTTGTATGTTCATTTGAAAAGAAATAAAAATAATTGTAAAAAAGAAAGAAAGGAAAGAAATGGATCTTAGAAAAGGACTTAAGAGATGATGGGAGTGACATGACAGGGAGGGAGATGCTTAGGGCTATTTTGGGGCAGGAACGCACAGGGACGGAGTTCCGGCTGGCTCCCAAGTTGGCCACGCCCAGCAGGAACTCATTAACATAATAGGCCACACCCAACAGCAGAAACTCATGATTGGCTACAATTAGGGTGTGTGGCCTAACATGCAAAGGAGTTCCTGCTACAAAAAAAGGCCCTGGGTTTTGACAACAAACAAAGTTAACAGAATAACAAGCAAAAGGTAGGTGTGGCTGGATAACCACACTTCTGGTAACATGTGGGTGTGGCCTAATATGCGAATGAGCTGTGCTGTCAGGGGTGTGGCCTAATATGCAAATGAGTTTCTGCTGTTTGGGTATGCCTTATTATGCGAATGAGTTCCTGCTGGGCTTTTTCTACAAAAAAACCCCTGGAGATGCTGTTCCAGTGAACGTGGTAGGAGGATGGTCTGTAAGCTTGTGCTGAACACACCAAATGAGAAGCAGAGATGAGCGGCTTATGGAATGAGGCGTTCTGGTGGAGAGCTTTGAAAATAAGGACTAAAAGTTTGTTGATGGAGAATGTATGATCGAAAGTCAGTGTAAATTTGTTAAGGGTGTGTATGTCTAAGGGGGGATGATGCCTTCAGAAAAGGCATTCTGAAGTGACTAGTAGTGGAAACGAAGAGGTCTAGATGGGCGGAAGCCTAGCAGGGGTGGAGTGGTTGTAGTAACAAGTGCAGAGACCTTGAATAAATGAGCCAGGCCAATGCCTGTTTGTTTGTTTCTCTTCTAACACCTCTTAATTCTTCCTTGGCCCCGAAGGATTCTTACAGAAAGCAAGTAGTCATTGACGGAGAGACCTGTTTGTTGGACATCTTGGACACAGCAGGCCAAGAGGAGTACAGTGCCATGCGAGACCAGTACATGCGAACAGGAGAAGGCTTTCTTTGTGTCTTTGCCATTAACAACACCAAGTCCTTTGAAGACATCCATCAGTACAGGTCAGTAATACCCCCTCAGTGGGGGACGTACTGTGACCTTCCTTTCTTGAGAAAGCCCTGGAGGAAGGAATTGTGCTGCTGTCCACTTTAAGATTCACCTATGCTGCAAATTGGTATTTTTTTAAGGCCACCTTAAGCTGACTTAGGGCTGCCAAGCCGCGGCGGGGGATCCGCACGTCTTCACAGGATCCCTGCCGCCGGGGACAGCGATACGTGTTGCACCGCCGTCGCCAGGATGTGACGCTACTTGTCGCTCTGGCAACGGGGCTGTTTGGAGTCCCGTTGCCAGAGCGACGCATAGCGTCACATCCTGGTGACGGCGGTGCAACGCATATCGCTGTCCCCCACGGCAGGGATCCTGTGAAGACGTGTGGATCCCCCGCCACGGCTTGGCAGCCCTAAACTGACTGCTAGTATCCTAATTAATAGTGCTATATTTTTAATGAAATAGATGTTTTGGCACCTGCTGTGTTCAGGGCAAGGTGGCGGCGGTAATGTACTGTTTCAGTTAGTTAGGATTTGATAGGGTTAATGCATTCACCTATTTTAAGGTTGAGCTGTAACCCATTTAACATTAATGTTTAACACTTTAAATATCAACCCCTTTTAACCCAATTTTATCGTTCCATGGTGTTATTTTTAACTGTTTCCAATAGTTTTATTTTCTTAACTATTCTTTTAACTATTTTAGGATATTCAGTAGTGGGGCATGCGTTTCGCACCCTTCCCTCAGAGGAGCAGGATAATATCATAGAGTGCTTTTGAAAAACACAAGAGAACTCATTGCAAGTGAGGCAGGAACAAAATCATGATTATGCATGGGAAAGAGCAGGTAGAGAAAGAGGTACTTTTCTCCCTTTCTCACAATACAAGAACTCGTGGGCACTCCATGAAATTGCTGAGCGGTCGGGTTAGAACGGATAAAAGGAAGTCCTTCTTCACCCAAAGGGTGATGAACACATGGAATTCACTGCCACAGGAAGTGGTGGCGGCTACAAGCATGGACGGCTTCAAAAGGGAATTAGATAAGCATATGGAGCAGAGGTCCATCAGTGGCTATTAGCCACAAGGTATAGATAGGGACTCAGGGGCAAGTGATGCTCTGTCATCTTGGTGCTTGGGGGTGTCAACAGTCCTGGCCCCACTGGTGGACCTCCTGATGGCACCTGGTATTTCTGGCCACTGTGTGATACAGAGTGTGATACAGAAGCCACACGTATGAGGCTGTTGCCATCAGAGAAGTGGCGGCAGAAGCTTTAATGGAGAAAGCAGTGGCCTTGCGGGCTCTGCGGAGAGCTGCATCTCTTTCAATCATTGGGGTCTTTCAGGGTGCCCCCTCTCCCCCCTTTGAAAGAGCCACCCCTGGTGCTGTGCTAGGCATCGGAGCAACGCTCCCTCTAAGCTGCGGAGTCTTGTGAGCAAAAATCCTGCTTTGTGAGCTCCTGGCATTCAAGTTGTGAGCGAGCGATTTGGCTACTGCATCAATTAGTTTGCTCTGGCGCCAGCCTTCCTGAGCGGAGACAAAGATGTGTGAGCCGGAGGTTAAAAAATTGTGAGCTAGCTCAGACTAATTCAGCTTAGAGGGAACACTGCACAGGAACATCTACCACCTGAAGTGGTACATTCTTTTAGCCTGTCCCGAATGTAAACAATCACTGGTAGGCTCTGACCTTTCCTCTTTTACCTGTTTTTAAAAAGGGAGGGGAATGTTGAACCCAGCTCTCTAACCCTGTAGAAGACCTCAGGAGCCCCTTTATCCTCCTCGGGGATTTCTACCTTAGGGGCAGAAAGCTGTAGGGTTTTTAATGCTTTATGTAAGAGAGTGGGAAGCCCCTTGTGAGAAAAAAGGTAGTGAGTTGGTTTGCTCTGTCTTCCTTTCTATCTAAAACTGCATTGGAATCCTCAGAGCCTGGGGGGGGGGGATTCCTCCCTTCAGACCTGTAGTCGGAAAAACTTGAATAATTTCTCCTCATGGAGAGGGTGCCTTTACAAGTGGCCTTCGTCGGCCAAGAGGAGCTCCGGCCTTTCCCGGTGTCTTGAGGCCCTGGAGTAGCTACACATATGCATATTTTATTTATTTATTACTTTCGATTTATATCCCGTCTTGCCAGAGCGGGATATATATAGGGAAAGGTAAAGGTTTCCCTTGCCCGAAAGCCAGTCGAAGCCGACTCTAGGGTTGCGGTGCTGTTAGATACGAGACTCGAGGCAGCAGGTGAACAGCTTTATTTGAACACGAAGTCAGAAGAACCAGAACGAGACAAACAATGGAGCAACAGGCTCCTTTTTAAACAGTCCGGGCTTGGCAAGCCACGCCCACATGTCAGGTAAGGTCCAATCAACTACAGTACATAAAGACCAATCACTTTGCTTCCCTCCAGAACTTCCCTTGTTCTGATAGGTCGGTTTACAATACCTTGATCAGGCTTTCATTGCATCACATTTCATACACAACAGGTGCTCATCTCTGTTTCAAAACCGAAGAGCCGAAGACGTTTCCGTGGTCATGTGGCCGGCATGACTAAACTCCAAGGCGCACGGAACGCTGTTCCCTTCCCACCGAAGTGGTATCTATTTATCTCCTCGCAGTTTCTTGCTTTCGAACTGCTAGGTTGGCAGGAGCTGGAACTAGAGACGGGAGCTCACTCCGTCATGCGGCACACGCAGGTCTCGAACTGCTGAACTACCGACCTTCCACAGCCTGCAGTTCAGTGTCTTAACCAGGGGTCCATAGCCATGTGTTTCCATGCTTCTTCTTTGTCTGCCAAAACTCACCACACTATGAACAAACAAATCTCATGCTCGATTAAACAATGCAATTTTTTCCCTCCTTCTTCCGGGCTGCCAGATTCCCGTGTGTACTTGGGAAGTGCGAGTGCTTGTAGCCCCTTCCCCAGTGTTACAAATAAACCACGGTCTGGGTAACTTCCCGCATGATTTACTCTGACTCGGAATGTTTGGGTTTCTTTGTTGATGACTTTCCAGGAGGAGTGTGGAGTCCGATTATAGGAGCTGCTTTCAGAATTCGTGCGCGAAAAGAAGTATGCACATTTTAAACAGACGTGGCTCACTTTTGGTTGCTCTTCCGCAGGGAGCAGATCAAGAGGGTGAAAGACTCCGACGATGTCCCCATGGTGCTGGTGGGGAACAAGTGTGACCTTCCTGCCCGAACTGTGGAGACACGGCAAGCCCAAGAGCTGGCCCGCAGCTATGGGATCCCCTACATAGAGACGTCAGCCAAAACGAGACAGGTACGTGGCGGTCGGGCAGGCGGCTGCAGCCTCCTTTGAAGGACTTCTCTCCCCTTCAGAGCTGGGGGAAGAGCCCCGTCTGTACCCCCAGGAGTCCAGTCTCTGCCATCACAGCGTCTGTCCTACGCAAGTTCTGTCACACGGACATCAAGCTAGCTTCTGCAGGCGATTTCTGAAGTTGTGTGTGTATGAGAACCATTCTTTTGTTTCCCTCTTTAACCCCCCCTCCAGTGGTGTGGCTTTCTCTGATGTTAGTGTGCTGGGGCTGGATTGGAACTCAGAGCTGAAACACAACTCCCAGAGCCTCCTTTGCTAGTGCTTTCTCTAATGGCTTCTGGCTTACAACTATCCAGCTGCTCTCGGTGCAGGAGAGCCCCTCCCGCGCATGCCCTCCTCACTCCTTTATTCTGGGCAACCTGCTTACCTCCCTGCCTACTGTGAGAGGAGGACTGTTGAGTTCCCATTCCCCCTGCGCAGAGCTTGCCGCAGCTGCTTAAGAGGCAGCAGGGAGGCTGGCGCACCATCCCATTGAGCAAACCACATGAATGTGCTCAGGGGTCATTTCGTAGAAAAAGAAGCGTAGGAGCTCATTAGCATAGCTCATTAGCATATGCCACACCCCCGACATCACCGGAAGCATGTCAGAAGGCAACACCCACCGCTCCGGCTCTACTGGACTGTTTTGGATTGCTAGCTATTGGGGGGGGGGGCCGTGGAGAGTGTTCCTCGCG